GATCAGACGGCTGATAGTGGCAGAATCGTACGGCTTGCGGGTGACCTGCCCAAATTTGAACCCACGCGCCGGCGCCTATCTTCGCCCATTTACAAAGGCTCATTCAATGCATGAGATGAGCCGGTCGACAATACCTGTAAACAACTGACGCAACACTGGCAGGTTGCAGCCGGCTGGTAGCTATATACGGAACTACGTGGCGTGGAGCAACCGTCGCTCTAACACGAGGAGGTGAAGGCAACATCCAACACCAGATGTACATGAAAAAAAAGCATCATGTCGAGGAGTGCTCTCACCGAGCTAGTTAAGTTCTCATCTATATTAGCACATATTGTTTAATTATAGCCAAAAGCTATTTTTAAAAACCTTTGTCATCCGATCGCAAATCTGGTGGCTCGTTTCTCTTGATTATTTATTTCAAGGTCGAACCGAACCTACTTGTTTTCTGTGGCTAGTAGATTTCTCTCGATCGAACCTGGTTACCAGCGAAGCAAATATCCAAATGATCCCTCTATTTTATTTTTTCAATTTCCAAAAGCTAGAATTTCAACTCTTCTTTATTAGCATATTAGAAAGAAAAAGATTTCTGGTTTCCTGCTTTTAGACTTCACGAGTGTGTACTATTGGTTACCTTTTTTTGACTTCTTGACCGTGCGTCATTGACATCAGTTTTTGGTAAGTACAAGAGTTATTGGTAATGGAGAGACGACAAATCATCTCGATATAGAATCGGTACCACTCAATCTCGGTGTTTTGAGGTCAGAGAGTCCGCAGGCACATATGTGATAGCTTCCATTTCAAGCAACCATTATAACTTTGACCCACGGGAAAAAAGTTTCTTCAAAACATGCCTGGTAATTTATGTGTAAATAGTATAGTAATATATGTATCATATACCTAATAAGTTACTCCTTCCATCTATATAGGGCCTAATGCGTTTTTTAAGACCGTCTTTGACTATTGAGAAGATTAATAGTACATGACATGCACAATGTGAAAATTATATCATCGAAAGCTCCTTTCACACACGAATTTAACGGTGTGCTTTCTGTAAGTTGCATGTCATATATTATTGCTCTAATATTTGGTCAAAGTTAGCCTCGAAAAACGCATTAGGTCCTATATAGATGGAAGGAGGGAGTACGTATAAACACCACGGTATTTTTTGGCCGGAGAAAAAGTTATCGAAAACACATCTCTGGTTACTTCTTTGTAAATAGCATGGTAACATACAAATCACAAACCTAATAACTTACATGCAAATACCGCGGTATATAACACATGGGATAAAAGTTGTTGAAAATATATCTCTGATAGTTTTATGTAAATATCATGGTAATAGACACACCACAAACCTGATAACTTATGTAAAACCGCTGCAGTAACTTTGTTCATGAGGAAGTGGATGTTGAAACCTACTCCGGTAATTTCTATGTAAAATATCATGGTAACTTATGCACCCTGAGCGTGAAATTTACGTCCGAAAACCGTGGTCACTTTGCCCCGATGAAAATTTTTATTGAAAAATATATCCCCACGATAACTTTTGTGTAAATAGTATGATAATACACCCATAACAGAGCTAATAACTCTTTGTAAAAAATATACCCCCCACTAACATTGGAATGGCGGAAAAATAGTTGAAAACATACCAACAGTAACTTATCTACAAATAGCATGATAATACACGCAGCACACACCTGATAACTTACGCATAAACATGACCGTAATCTTTGATTAGGGGATGCGGGGGGAGTTGCTGAAATCATACCATGGAAATTTTGTGTAACTAGCATGGTAATTTAAGAAACAGAGAGTTGATAACTCATGAACAAACATCATGATAACTTTTGAGCTGGGAAAATAGTTGTTGAAAAAATACCCCACGGTAACTTCTGTGTAAATAGTATGGTAACATAAGTACAATATACCTGATAATTTAGGCACAAATAGTATGGTAACTTTTACCCGATGAAAAAGTTGTTGAAACACACATATCGATAACATGCGTATGAATAACATGATAATGTACGTACGACACAGATGATAATTCATGCACGAACACCACGGTAAATTTTGTTCCTGGGATAAAACTTTTTAAAAACATACCCTCCCCCGCCACATAACCTCTATGAAGATAGCATGGTAATATGAGCACAATGAAAACTTACTTAGCCAAGGTGTGGTAAG